CACTAATAAAGTCAAAGGTAGCACAGGTAGTTACTATATATTTCAGATATACATAGTAAAAAAAGCCATCATGAATCTATGCTGTTTTCTCTGCTACATTGCATAAGATTAATTCCATGCTGGGAGAAAAAAGAAATCAAATCAGCCACAGGAAAGACATAAGCAGACAAAACCTGTTGGCTGGTGGTGGAAAGATATAAAGCCTAGTAATTTATTTCAACACAGAAGGCAGATAATTTGCTTCATGCACCAAAACTATGTTGGCTAACAGTAAAGGAGGATGTTGTATCCCAAGACAAAAATACTACCCTTTCAAGCAGAAGAGTGATGGAGTTTTTTGTTTTCCTGTTACTTCTTGGTGATGGGACTGAAATGCAGGAGGTTGAAAATTACATCTGTTTATGTTAGATGAAGCAAAATATGAAAGTGATGTGACAGCCTTTGCCACTTTTGTTGCAACTATTGTCATGCAAGTTAGAATGAATCTCAGATTGCTGAATTTCTGTCTATTTGATCATGATTGAAAGAAATTAAGTGATCAGCCTTTCAAGGTGTAAAATCCACCTGCAGTTCACAATAAATTATGACACAGGTATGTACTGTAGATAATTGCTCCAGATATTTCTGACATTTGCAAGAGTTGTTACATTTTAAATAGCATTTTCCAAAAGATGCTCCTGAGCTGTATTTGCTTCATGCTTTCAACTAAGTTTTCCTGAAATTCGTTAAGACTGCCAAAAGTGCTCTCCTCTTCCTCAACTATTGCTTTAACTTCTCTTTTCAAATAGACCACTGGTATTTTGGTTTGACTGTAATTATTTTTTGGCCAAAAAAAATTGAAGTTTTAACCATCTGCTTTGGGATGTTTAGGGCATGGTTCAACACAGCAAACCAGACAGGACACAGAGCACCATACTTCTAACCAGCATCCACTTCCTTCTGCCTGGATAACTAAATAAGGATTCAGAAGAAAAAAGTGGAATTCACCTGTTTTTTCAGCATAGTCATAGTATTACTGAGAGACTTCAGATAACAGAGCAAGGTCGCCCAAGCTACAGAATGGATTTTCTGAGACTGCCCAGCATGGCTTCATATATTCCTGGTAAGGTAGGAAAGAGAATTGCCAATCTTTTCAGAGAAACAGCTGATTTCCAAAGGGCAAAAAGATATAGTACTCACTTTCATGGACTTTTCATGACTGTCCATCATTGCGTGCTATACAAATAGTAGATGCAGACAGGATGTGATTTACACTGCCTCAAATAAAAGAAAACTAATAAATTTTAACATACAGTTGGTGAAAAACTCACTAGTACATTAGTAAAAAATTTGCAGATGGTGGTTTGCAATCTATTGGAAGCTAATTATTGATTATATTTGAGGTACGCTGTAAAATCCATGAGACTCTTGGGAAGACATAGCAATAATTTGCATTCCCTGAAGCAAAGATACTTTGACTAGAATCATAAAATCCTAGAATGCTAAGGGGTTGGAATGGACCTTAAAGATCATGTAGTCCTAACCCCCCCTGCACTGAGCAGGGACACCTCCCCACTAGACCAGGTTGCTCAAGGCTTCATCCAACCTGGTTTTGAACACTGCCAGGGTTGGGGCACCCATAACCGCCCTGGGCAATCTGTTCTAGTGTCTTACCACCCTCACAGTAAAATAATTTCTTCCTAATGTCCTAATAAATTTCCTTGTTTAATTTATCCCCACTGCTCCTTGTCCTATCACTACAGTTCCTAATGAAGAGTCCCTCTCCAACTTCCCTGTAGGACCCCTCCAGAGACTGAAAGGTTGCTATGAGGTCTCCATGGAGCCTTCTATTCTCCTGGCTGAACAGCTCCAATTTTCTTAGCCTGTCTTCATAGAGGAGGTGCTCGAGTCCCCTTATCAACTTTGTGGCCTTCTCTGGTCTTGCTCCAACTGTTCCATGCCCTTCTTATGTTGGGGACACAGAACTGTAGACAGTACTCCAGGTGGGGTCTCAGGAGAGAAAAGCAGAGGAAGAGAATCACCTCCTTCAACCTGCTAGCAACACTCCTTTTGATGCAGTCCAGGATTTGGGTGGCTTTCTGGGCTGTGAGTGCACACCGTGGCTCATGCTGAGTTTTTCATCAGCCACCATTCCCAACGTCTTCTCCACAGTGCTTTCAATCACTTCTCCATCCAACCTGTCATTGTGCCTAGGATTGCCCCAACCCAGATGTAGGACCTTGCACTTCACTCTGTTGAACTTCATGAGGTTTGCATTGGCCCAGCTCTCAAGCCTGTCAAGGTCCATCTGGATGACACCCCTTCCCTTCAGCATGTCAAATGCACCACACAGCTTGGTGTGGCCAGTGAACTTGTTGAGGGTGCATTTGATCCCACTGTCCATGTCACTGGTAAAGATGTTGAACAGTATTGGCCCTACCAGTGACACCACTCATCACTGGTCTCCACATGGACAACGAGCTGTTGACTACAGAGACTAATAGATAATAATAGACTAACATATTCTCTACCAAAATAAAAACTGGAACAAAACAGAAAGAAATGTATTCCCTTAGTGACCACTTAACAGCACTCTCACACTAAACTACTACTAAGATCATATAACAAAAATGTGGTTGTTAGCTGACAATAAAAGAAATAAAAAATGGGAATACTTTATAATTCGTTCATATTTAAAATTTAACTGATACATGAATGAGTCATTTTACACTGTTATTCTCATTCTTGGCTAGGGTGAGAGTGATGAAAGATTTTCCTGTCAGATGGACGAATATGGGGTATGTGTCTTCTAAATAAATAAATAAAAATTAAAAAAAACAACCCTAAGTGGGCTTGTTTTCTTTTCAAATTCAACAGATTCTTGGTTATCAATTGCTCATAACATTGATTTTCATTCCTCTTGGCATCATACCTGCCAAAGTCAGGTCATATTAATGTCAGAGATGATTCATCAAGAATAAAAAATGTGTCTGCATTTCAGCTACCAAGGACCAGGAGGAAGGAATAAAATATTAAACCAGAAGATACCTCAATTCAACTAAAGAAATTCCATCTTGTCTGTGCTTCATGGGTAGCCTTCTGTTTCTCTATCTCTGAAGAGTTAATGAATGAGTCAGGGTAAGAGGCAACAGCAGGTGTTTATTTTGAAGGTGAATATAATATTACGTAGCTTGTGGTCCAGTGATCAGTATACAAGTATACGAAGACTGGAGATGGCTGTGATGGGCTGTGACAAACAGCAAAGTGACAAGCTGATTGATCTGCGAGCCCACTGGAGAAGCAAGTCAATACCAGTAAAATTCATGAAGTGTTTCTTTCTGCCAGTTGGGCTGACACACCACTGATGCATGCCAGAGAGCTAATGTTGCTAGCCAAGCTGTAGAGTAGCATCTGCCACTTCCACAGACTCATCAGTGACACCCATGGGTAAAATGGCATTTGGTTTATACAGCTGATGACAAACCCATCAGTCGTTTCTCAGCAATCAGCAGCAGTTTCTCAGCAATCTTGCAAAGACAAAGAAATGTGTGCTCACACAGCAGTAGGCCCTCATCCTTGCACATTAAACATGCATTGACCTGGTTTACTTTCAGATGTGATTGTCAAGCTTCTGTTCCTCAATCACTGGTTTATGCAGCAGAGTTGACACAACACAGTTTCTACAGATAATAGTCATACTAACCCCCTTTTCTCTCTGCTTGACTGTGTGCACCAACCTATGGAACAATTTCCTGAAATTCAGCCATTGCTTTTCTCAATATGAAATGAAACTTGATACATAATAATATTGGAAATGAACATTTCCATTGGAAATGGAAATAACATAGGAAATGAAATTATTCATAATGTTGTAGGAGTGAAAGCATCAGAAAACCAAAGTAAACAAATCTAGCAGCAATAAGCAACACACCTATCTCAATCAAACCCTCCCTTACATTTTTTTCCTTATTAGGATTAATGGAGGAACTAATCCTGATCTCAAGAAAGCCACCAGAAAAAAACTCTCACTGACTGCCAAAACAGAATATAACCCACTGTTTTTCCACCTGTTTTCTCTCATACTACTTAAAAATTATGCTAATTAATATACCAGAAGAACAAAATGTGAGACTGCATGATCTTCACAGTAAATAGAAAATCCCATCTCGCTAATAACGTGATGCTTTAAAGAAAATGCATAAAAATTACCCTTGCAGCAGCCTTTCCAGGATAAAACAACAGGAGTTTTCAATCCTAGAATCAATTTCCCCTGGTGATTTGACTCCAAACATTTCCATCAAAACTCACAGAGTCATCAAATTAAGACCTAGAAACTGACTGCAGCTATGAAATTCAAGATGACCTTGTTTTCTCCTGGTAACATTTCTCTCAGACACCCGTTGGCTAAAATCCTCAAGAATGTAGCTTTGAGATCACTTAAAAACCTGGTCTGTATAAAGAAATCATTTAAAAATCTGACCAGTTCTTTCAGAATTTAATATTATAATTTTCCCTCCAAAGGTAAAATCCCCGAATTAAACTTATTTGGGCAGAGTCTCAGAATGTAAGGGTGCAAAAGTCTGTATCCCAAATTCTCTGGCTCAAGATAAAGGGAAACAAAGTTTCTCTTGGTCTGTTAAACATGCTATGGCAGGTAACCTCAAAGATAAGTCTCATTTGATGTGGAAAAAACTGAACAAATTGAATGTGTCTAAATGACAATTATGGACTTTCAAGACTCCTACTGGGGTCTCAAAACATTCTTCAGTAGAACAAATGGCCACACTCAGTACTGGTTGAGGAGGAGAGGTGTGACTATAAATGTACTTGTTGGAAAACCACTGTCGCCAACCACATCCTGAGACTCAAGATATCACCACTGCACTGCTGGGCCTTCTAGAGAGTTTGAAGATCTTTTAGAAATAAGAAATACCAGTATTGCCTCTGCTTTCAGAACAGCACAGAACAGTTCTTTAATTTCAGAAAGTATCACACAATAAGCTAAAATTTGTGGAGCTTACCTTCCTACGATGGGATGGCACAATAAAATATGTTTCAATATTATGCTTCTTCAAGAAACTATTCCTTTCATGACCATATCCTGGTTCTACCTCGTAGTCCCCATTTAGGCACTCTAAGGTGGCCTTTGTAATATGAACTTTCCTGAAGAGAAAAATCAGAAGTTGTTGTTTATAGCAAAGACACATTATGAGCGAGTCTATTACATGCTTGTCATACACATCAATTCACGTTTGTTGTAAAAAACCTGTTGTTTTGTCTTTTCAGCCAGATAGAACATAGAAAATTTTCTATTACATGCATTTTCTAAACTTGGGCAAAATGAATAAAAGACAACCTTTGACTGTACACACACTTGTAGATTTCACATTTGCTCATTTGTAGAAAGCAAATGCCACACCATGTGCCTTTCTTAAGTATTTACCTCACTGCCTGCTTTGAAAAACATCCTGCTGTTTGAAACTCAAGACTTCACACTCCAAATCTCCCTTGTGCATAAAGGAGAAACTTCTTTTTCTGTTTCACTTCACGTCTCTGAGTTGCATCCTTTACTCGTTCTGTTTTGTAGGCAGCTTTCTAATTCACTTTGTTTTGGCAGCACAGCTATCTTTGACACTATTTGTGAGTTTTCTTGTCCTGAAGAAGTCTTCATATTTTCCCCCGAGAGACCTCTTATATTTGTAACATCTTCACAGAAGATATGCAAAAAAGATTTTACTGCTTATCTCTAATAAAAGTGTTAAGATTCTTTTTTTCACTGGCTTAAGGTAATGAACATACAAAATACACCGACAAAACTAGATATATGCAACAACAGAAATTCACTCATCATTACCACCAAAATTAAGAGGCACCATTGTCCTGTTCAGCAAACTGTGATCTTGTAAAAATCCAACAGAGGATGGTAGGTCACACTTCAAATGTGAGCTACACACAGAACACCCACACAGCTTTGTGAATCTGCACTGTGTACATTTAAATTGTGCCCAAGGCCATACAATGAGTACTTAAAATTCTAGGACATGCCCCGTGGGTTGGCCAGAGGTTTATGTGTTACTGTATCATTTGCAAAGACATTATCAATATTTGAGTTCATAAACAGGTATTTCTTTTCTGTAGCACACTATATGTGTTGGATATCACACTGTGTAAGGCATCCCTTCCCCCCTTCCAAGTGTAGACATGCAAAGGTAAAACTTCCCTGGGACAACTACCAGTTTTTACTTTTATAACATGAAATTACGGAAATCTGGCATTCCTACATTCCTAGTGTTGCCTCATTCCTACTCTTTATATGTAGCAGCGTCTAATAAGGATTTTGTTTGGAAATGTTTTGCTTCTAATCCAACCTACTTACATAAATATCAAGATCATTTGGAGAATTCCACAGGATAAATCATATAATACATAGATTGCTCTTACCAAACACAATCCTGCTTATTAATAGCAATTATATCGCAAATGCCTCAAAGAGAGGAAATAAATTCTTCACCCATACAGGTTTCTGTTTCTTTTTCTGTGGTTCTGTTTCAGACTTACCCAGGCAGTCCTCCAGCTTCCATTACATTAGCTAAAGTCACATCATTTGACCAGACATCATATTGCCATTTTCGGAGCCCCAGGACTCCACAAAGCACCCTGCCTGTATGCAATCCAACTCTCATGTTGAGATCAACCTCTGTGGCTTCTGCAACAGATCTGTAACAGAGAGTATCAGAATATTAATCTCTAGACAATGGCACTGCTTTTGATTTTGTTTTTCTCTCCTTCTCCCAAAGTTAAAATATATATATACACATGACTGAATAAACAAGACCTTTTAAAAACTTCAGATGGTACTCTTCTCTTCCTTCCTTTGAAAGTCCTTGTTGTAATTCCAACAAAATAATTTTCTTGGCTATATTTTAATTACTGTTGCACCAAAATGTCAGTATTTCTAAATTTATTGACCTAATACATTAAAATCTAATTTTCTCAGTGTCAAGGAAATCCAGAAGATGTTTCTTGCCATTACATTTAACTAAAAAAAAAAGAAAAAAATAAAAGGATTTTTGTTATCTTGTTTGTACAGAAATGCAGATATTTTACTGAGAGATAAACAAAGACCTTTCTAGCTGTAACTCAAATAGCTCAAAGACAGCCAGCTTAACTCCTGAACTTTCTTGTTCATCTTGTGTCTCACACACATTTACTTTCTTTGGTCATAAGTGTTCCTTTTCTCCCAATATATATTTATTGCACTGGGTGATGAGCAACCAGAACGTGATTGTTGGAATCAAAAGACTTTTGAAACTATCTTATTAGGCTTAATTTTAACCTGATGTGTAAGTAAACAAACATGGTTCAATCCTACCATTACTCCAGATTGCTTTCAACTCACTGTTAATGACTGTCAATCTTCTTGGATGATACTTACTTAATGTTTCATTATATTTGTTCAACTGATATTTTCACTCTATGATACTGCTAGGAAATGTTGCAACTATTAGTAGTCACAGAGAACTGTGCTGTGCCATTACCTTTACATTATCCTCAGTTAAACATGATTTCCTATGAGACACTGAAAGGGCACAGACTTAATATTTAAATGTTCTTACAGTTTCTGTGTGAAAAGGGATATGAAGAGGCACTAGTTAGGAAGGCCATTGCCAATCTACTATGTTCTCATTGGCTCAATTACCCAGTTACAGGAGTACAGGGCAAAGAACACGATGAAAGCAATAAATCAGTGCAAGAACAGCAGATAAAGAATGATTATAAACATTAACAGATTTTCAAAGGTCCTGGAAGAGTAACGCAGAAACCAATTGTAACTATGGGGCCTTGCACCTGTAAATTAAATCTAATCTTTAGAGATTTTCATTGTCTAGCTGGGAAACAAGGAACTAACTGGCATAGCCATTATTAAAAATATTCTTATTTTTAGTGCCATAGTAAGCACCCTGCACTGACTTGTGGACACTGAAAAGGTGCCTTGAAGCTAACAGACTTATATATCACATGGGGTGATAACACTGTACATAGATCTTTTCAGCTCTTTCTGTTACAGAAACAGTGGGCATTCCACAGTTCAGTTGCAGTCCAGAAGGAGATAATATCAGTGAATAAAGGAAAGTGACTAATCAGTGTAAGACTTGAGTTTCATCTGGTTTTCTTAATTTGCATGTTCCAAAGCATTATTAAAATAAGAGAAGACCTTAATCTGAGTCTCTGGCTATAATTTTTCCTTTGATCTTCATTGACCAGTTGTTTTTTTTTCCAAGTATCATACAGCTTACACTGGATTTGGCATAGGTATCTTTAGAAGGATTTTTCAACTATCCACAAGTTGCACTTGTTTAAATACAATTAACATAAAGGTCAGCATAGGTCAAGATGTGGGGTGTGCAGCATAAGATACCTAGCCTCAATTTAAATAAGAAACTCTTCATCTATGAAGTGCTGAAGTATATCCCATGTCAGCAATCACTAATGGAAGTAATGTGAAGATCTCTTTTGTCCCCATAGGGAAGCTTGGCATAACACATTTTTTTCAGTCATATTTTATGCAACAGCACAGAAAGGCTTATGCACAACTTCCTGAAAGATTAAATATTTCCTTGTCCTATTTCTACTCACTGCAAGTCAGCTTTCCTTTATTCAGTATCTATTCCCAGTCAAGCCTCAAATATAACTCCAAGGATTCCTGAGGATTCTAGTGTTACAGAGCTTTGTTGTGCACACTCTCTGTTTGACAAAGCTTTGAGGAAATGAAAGAAGCTAATAACATGAGCCACCTAATGACACCCTAACCTTTGTATCTTCACCTGTGCATGTGTATTGTGTCATTACCAGATTGACCTTATACCAGGACCATATCCTGCAAGCCAAAACTCTTTGAGATTACACCTTGCTTGCCTGCCTGTGTTCTCCTGCACAACTAAGTACCTATGTAATTATCTTAATTAATGAACCTGCAAGTGTGTGAGTTTCTCTGTCCACAAATGAGAGGGGTTTTTTTGTTGGTTCCCCCAGACCCCCTCCACCATTAAAAAATTATATAAAACCTCAGACTAAATGTAATTGGAAAGACAGTGAAATTCAGATACTGATAAAGTCCACTCCAGACCTCTTACACTGCTTCATCCCAACTGCCTTGAGTGAGAGGGGGAAGTTTAGTGTGCTTTTGAAATAGAATAACAAAAAGTGAAAAGAAATGAGCAGAAAAATACAGCATGGTTGATCATACTCCTTGTTGAACTGTATAATGCACCAATGAACCATAAAGCAGAATCTGAAAACACTTTATGTTTTGAACAAAAGATCTCCAGAAGTAGTCAGTTAGTAAAAGATCTAAATCAAGACTGCATTTCTACATCGTCCCCAAAAGCTACAGTGTGTTTCAGGGATGCTTTCACCATTATTAAATTTGCATAGGAAAATACCTTCCAAACAGTTCATTAAAATTTTTGAATTTATGCAGAAGACCTGTGTGCCCTTTATGCAGATAATTTCCATGACATACCCCACTGAACTATCAAAAATGAGGAATATTAAGTAATATATATAAAACAAGCTCTAAATTCAGAGCAGTACCACAATCATATTAAAAAAATCAACATTTCTGCACTAAAATATCACAAAAATGTCCAATAAAGCATTTTAAATTATAAATGCATTTCGGAAAAAATACCAGCACTTCACAAACAAGTTGTGAATAGGAAAAATAAATTTCTCAAAATGCATTTCTGAAAAAATACCGGCACTTCACAAACAAGCTGTGAATAGGAAAAATAAATTTCTCAAATAAATTATTCATTATAATTTATTCTCTCATAGGTTCATATACAATATACTCAAATGTTTTCCAAATGTTAACATGAAAGCAGGCCCAGAAATAATGGAAATTGAAAAACATATTCTTTTTAAACTAGAAGTGTGCAGTCTACTGAAAAAATACCGGCACTTCACAAACAAGCTGTGAATAGGAAAAATAAATTTCTCAAATAAATTATTCATTATAATTTATTCTCTCATAGGTTCATATACAATATACTCAAATGTTTTCCAAATGTTAACATGAAAGCAGGCCCAGAAATAATGGAAATTGAAAAACATATTCTTTTTAAACTAGAAGTGTGCAGTCTACTAATAAGACAACCATCTACCCTGACAGCTCAAGTGTCCTACCAAGCCTTCAAATTTTAGTTCTCTCCTTAGCTACAAATATTTCATGTGCTGCTACAAGCCATCAAAGTAATTTAGATCATCTACACAACAGCTCCAGACCTGTGTTCCTGAACATTTGAAATGGGGTGGTGGGGGGGAAGCTCTGCATTTCTTATAATATGTAGGGCTTTTCTTTAGGTCTAAAAATATCTACATATAAATAGATGTTTCTTGGTTAAAGGCAGAGGTCCAATTTTTGGCTCAGTTATATACATTTGTTTTTTACACATGCATAGATCTAATGTGTGAGCTTCTGCACATCTCCCTAAATATTTCTGGGTCAGTTTCATTTCAGCTACATCAGGAATTGTCAGTAAGTCTATCTTTCTGTGAACTGCTCTGTCAGCCTGTATGGCTATGGGAGGAGAGGCTGCTGGCCACGGCCTCCAGTTCCAAGCAACACCCATCCACTAGGCTGCCTCACCTGCCCTTCAATCTGCCTTCCATGTTAGGTCTCTCAGGCAATTAAGTTTTTTTTAATTTATGTTTTGAAAACCTTTGCTGCTCTCCTGTTTCAGCAGCCTTTTTCCCAGGTCCAGGCAATTAAGTTTTTTTTACTTTATGTTTTGAAAACCTTTGCTGCTGTCCTGTTTCAGCAGCCTTTTTCCCAGGTCAGGTTTGGTGGGGTTTTTTGGTTTGTGTACCTTTTTTGCGGTGTTTGTTTTT